TATATTATTTAAATAAGTTTTTATAAAGTTATAATAAAAATATTAAAGGTGGTTTTTTTTGTCCCGGACTGTATATAGTATATATAATATATATATATATAATAACAACATAATAATTTAAAAAAATCAAAACCAATATATATTAGTAAAATAACTTAATGAAAATATTTTAACATTATATAAAAAATATATTAATTCTTATTAAGTATTAACATAGATTATACTGTACATGTATATAGTAAGTATAATATAAATTTTTGTTTTTAGTATGCTTTCGGGTACATAGTAAAAAAAAACGGTATAGGTCATTACGCATTCATTCATTTTTTATTTTGTATCCAAAATATTTCAGTATCTATATTAATAACATATACAATTGATAACTAAAGCTTTTTTACATATTACATTGCACTGATAGGATTCAGATATGATTGCCTATCAACACAATCTTGGCATATTATATATTTACAATTGTTGCAATGTGCCAGTAATCAATTCCGTAGAAATCCGTTCTATTCTAAAAAAATGAATGATATCAAATGAATTGTGAATGCCACTTCTTATGGATTGGGTTGAAAAAATCGGTGAAACTGTAAAGCATAGATTGTTTCCTAATAAGATGCGTGAATATTTTTTATAATAGCCTTGATATATCTTACTAAGTAAGATTACTTCGAGTCAATGATGAAGATTCGGAATATTCTTTTTGAAATTTAGCTAAATGAAAAAAAGGTATAGAAAATTGTTAGCATTAATAAAACAAAAGCACACTGTATATTTGAGAATACGCACAGATTCCTACGATGGTCCAACATAAATAGTCATCCACTTCTTCGACGGTTGTGAACGAAGTGTCCTTACTACTACTACAGGAGATCAAGGATTGCGCGGGTACAACGCGAAATGATTCTTTCGCAAGTTCCGAGTTTTGTATGTGAACAACTCCCGAAGATCGATAACCAAGAAAAGGCGAAGCACATTGTTCCTGAGTTTGAGGACCGTCCATTGTTATCGAACCGGCAGCACTTAGATAGTAAGATTCGCGTGCACCGAAACGCACATTTTGTAAGGCGATCTTCTGCATCTGACTTACAGGACCGCACGCATCTCGGATAATTTTACCCTTTTCTACTTTTCGAATTATCAATCGATCAGAGATGAAACCTGTGGCAGGGTCTGAAAGAGTTATCTCTGAACCATACGTAATCGGAATAGCATTTGAACAATTGCTGACAGCAGAAGGGTTTGAACCGTTAGAAGAGATACCGCCGGCTACGGATGAAAACATTCTTACTCCATCGGTGACATTATCATTATTTACCACACTAATTATAAAAGGTGACCAAGCAGAATTCTTCGCACATAACTGATCTCCTTCGATGCACATATATTTTGTTCGTACAGTTTGTGAATTAATGCGATTAAACAAGGAAATAAGTGTTCCTGATAATATGCAAGAAGACACATTTCTTGCCTTTACGGTTTTTTTAGATGGTTTTGATATGATTGTGACAGGAAAGGAATTATAAACAACGTGTGGGACGATAGAATCCTTGCGAAAAATTTTTAATTTCAAGGTGAAATGCTTGGCTTTGGCAGTGCCGCTAACGTGTAAATACTTAAATGTACCCTTCATATTTTCATCCAATAACGTCTTTCGTTCCAATGATTTTTCTCCGCCTTCACATTCTACTGACATGGACATTTCAGGTTTCGTGTGATATTCTCCTCTGCAATTGTTATTATGTCTTTTGAGTATTACCACTGGTGGAGGACAGAGAAATCTTTTTTCGCTACCATATGATTTTTGTGCAACTGATGCGTGATAACAGGTGACGGTAGTTAATTGACATGCATTTGAGGCGTTGTGACGGCTATCGGAGGAATTGTTATCATGTGAGCGAGGAATTTCTTTTGGTGATGAACCTGACGGCGACGATGGCGATAACATTGAGAGCTCATCCTTACTAATATCAGGTGGTGTATAAATGGCGTTTAGCACAATACGTCCTTCGGTGGAACGACATATTTTTGACCTTGATTTTTCCACATGTCTATCACTGACATTCATTAAACTGACTTTTTCAACGGCCTCCCATTTCCTTTTGTTGCTATTGGAAATCAATGACGGTTGAGAATTACGCGTACGATCGACGTCACCAACAGCTTGATTCATGCTGGGTAGAGAAAAAGAACTTTGAAAAATTTTGCCAGAAGAAGAGGAATGCGTATATATGAATTGAATGGAGTCGATTGGAGACGGTGTAGTCATCGGAGTGGATGGTGGTAATGAGGACAATTGGATGGACGAAGAATTTGGTGATGATTTGATCGGAGTTGTGGAAAGTCCAGAAAAAGTGTCTGGTGGTGTTAATGGTATAGAGCTAGAAGATTGGGTAGCGAAGGGTTGATGCTGATCTGATTCAATTAATGAAGAGATCGACATGGCAGTCGGAATTTGATTCTTGTTACTACCATTATATTCTTTTACTACAAATTGTCGGTAGTGGCACGGGGAAGAAGTGGAGGTAGAAAAGGAAGGAGGGCATTTTGATGCCTCATCGTTATCATTTGATATCATGCCGTTTTGCTTGGTGAGTTGAGGAGAAGCTTCGATGGCATTCAAGAGAGTTTCCAAATTTCCATTACCAATATAATGACATTTCTCATTTAAAGTCGTTGAAGAAAAATGTGCTTTTGATATCACCGAATCCGTGTGTGTAATGCTTTTATCCATAATGAAGGGAAAAAGAGATATTTAAATTCAGATTTTACGTGTTCTACGTCCTGTATATTTTATCAAGCGCGTGCGAAACGAAAAAATTAATGGATGAACAGGTGGTCTGATTAAATAATTGATTTTTGTACGTGTGTGGGAAAAAAAATTTTTTTTTTATACAATGCATAATAAGTTGCGGGTTGTTTATCAGAAAAACGATCTTTTTTTCTACATAACATAATCTTTTGACATTCCTAATTAGATTTGTCAACCAGTTTATAGGCTGAGTAAATATGATCTAATGAATATTAACGGAAACTGATAAGCTGTATGCTGCTACTATGCTACAACCGTACAACACCGAAAAAACGAAAGCTTTCGGCGTAGATAGATATTAAACACATTACATATATCATTATATAGGAAACTGGTGAGAAAATAGATGAGGAAACGAATGTCTCGTGTAACACTTACATCTTAGTTCGTAATCTATATCGCGCATACGTACATCCGTACATCCCGTCTTTCGGATTTTCCAAATAGCGTGATGAATGTTGTGGGAGAGCTCCTGATAAATTACATGTGCTTTGTGCTGACCAAAAAAACGATAATAGATAATCTAATTTCATATTCTGATATCTTATCTGTACTTTAATAATATCGTAAATCAAAATGTTTACATATACTTTCCACAAATGTACTTTTATAATCAAACAACGATTTCTTTTTTGTAATTGTTATAAATACCAATTTACCTAAATAATAAATTTTCAAACATAAACAATATTTTTTTTTAATCATCGTTATTATTATTACGGTATTATTATTTATTCTTAATTTTTTTTTTTTTATAAAACACGCGTTATTAGGCCAAGCATGTGATTTATTATATTAACCTTGATTAAGAAAACAGGAGTGCAGTGAACATATATAATAAAAGATATATATAAATAAAACTACTTTCGAAACAAATATTTTTTGATAGGTATTAAATATAAAACTTTACTTGATACTATTATTACATTAAAGATTTTTATAAAAATAAATTAATTTTAGTTTTTTAAAATTAAGGTAATACATATAAACTCAAAATTCTTATAAGAAAAAAAAAGACAAACAATAGTTAACAACTAGTTATATTATAAATCAGTATATGTACTTATAAAAAAAAACAATAATGATTAATAAATATAATTAGAAATTATAGATTTTCTCATGCTATAAATATTTTTAATACTAAATAAAGTTTTTATACAGTTTTTTCTATATAATTATTTTTCTATTTATTAGTTATTAATCAATTTTTCTTTGTAATATATATTTAAAATTTATATATTAATTAATAATTATTTTTTAATTATATTGAAATAATCTATTTAAAATTTTTAGATATATATTTTATTTTTTAAAAAAATTCAAAATTAGGCTTAAATTACTAACTATATAATATTTTTATTAGAATTTCTAATAATAATATTTTGATATCAAATCCATATTAGATTTATTATTAGATTTATTATTTTTTTTTTAAGAGCTAAATATAATACATATGTAATTTTTATTAATTAATTAAGATCAAGCCATTTCAATTACATAAATAATTTATTAACTAATATTAATTAACTAATACTATCTGTTTTTTTTATCAGATTATCAACTTATATCCAATAAATGAATTAATATCTTAACTTTTATTATTATAAATAGTTCTATTAACTATTTTATATAAGAATCTATTACTTTGCAGCTTATTCACTATCAATTATAAATGAATTAATAAACATTCCTTAATGCAAATATATATTTTTTAGTAAATGTTTCAGTTAACTATTTGGTTAACACTAACTATTAAATCTAAGGCTATTTTGGCTTAGTAGAGTATAACTTCTTAAAGAACTTGTCTCTTAATTTTTTAATAAATACTTCAATTGGGCTGGTTGAAATAAACTATCAAATCTAAAAGTACAAATATCAAGCAGAATACAATTCCTACATATTCTATCTTATCGTATTATTGTTATAAAAAATATCTGAATTAATATTAACAAAATATTCATCTTCAAGATCTTCTTATTTCAATAATTCAGTGTAATGATTTAAGTAAAGGAACATGTTGGTCATTAATAGTTTATCATTATTAAAGAAAATCTTTATTAATGAAGAGTGGAGCAGACAACTCTAAAAATAATTAAAGAAAAAATACAGCCTTTAAATACATTTTTTTTCAATATAAATAAATAGAATAAAATACATAAAGAATAATATACATATAATCTTAGTAATTTTCTTGGAAGATTATATGAATTAATAAAGAAAAAGAAAATAAAATAAAATAATAAATGAATAATAATATTAATCAAATATATTAATAATATCTTATAACCCCTTGATATTAATTACTAATTAATAACACATATTAATTAATGAAATCATATTGAATTAATAATCACTATAAGTTTCGAGTTTCGCGTCACTCCGGAGCTTCGGGATCGGCGGATGTCATGTGACTTCGGATATGTGTTTAAGTCTAATCATTAGTATTCTTCGGCTGAAAGTTTAAATCCTTGATTATTAAGAAATCGGTATTGACAATGTCTTTTTGACCATTAATAAAAGATGTTTTTCTCATCAAAATACCTATAGTTTTTTAAGATTATTTGAGAAGTTGTTATCTGACTTTTCGAAAAAAATCAGAATTTTTGCCAGACGTCTATAAATTTGTTATATTCAGTCCAATTACCATAAGCAACTTCTGATAATAATCATACTTCAACTAGATAATTATTACATTACAATATCTTTTCTAAAGATTATAATCTTAATATCTACTGAATTAGTATATGAAACAGTTTTACATGAAAAATAACATATAACAGGTTATGATACCAAATACTATATAGGTTCTATTTAATTGTTTTTATTTGAAATTGAATCAATATCTTGTGATCTAACCTGTAAAATATTAATTACTATACTATAGACCCATAGGTCCAGATTTATTATTAGTTTAATATAATAGATCACAATCTATATATTAAATTTATTATAAGTTAATATCAAGTCAATACTATTTTGATACTTAATTTGAAACCCTAGTTTTTATTGATTTTTTTAAAAAAACTAATATATAAAAATTAAACTTTCTGAATACAAGGTTTTAACAATTATATTTAAATATAATTATATATTATTTTTTTAAAATATTTAAAATTTCAAGTTATTATTTTTTCTTAAACAAGTTATTTTAATATTAGATATTAATTTTTTTCTTTATTTTTTTTTTAAATTTGTTATTATTATAATTAAAAGTTATTTTATTACTTATTTCTTTAATAAAAATCTATTGAAAATTACAATTAGCTACTTAAAAAAATATATTAAATATTTGAAAAATATTTATATAAATTGGAATAATTATTTTTAAGAAAAATATATTAATTACTTAACTATAAATTAAATTTAATTAAGTATAATTAAACCTTTTTTTACTAATTTTCTAAATAATATTTTAAAATAGTATTTGAATTAAAGTATGTTTTATTTTTTAAAAAATTTATATATTATTTTTAATATAACTTAACAAATCTTGACAAGAAACTTTTTTATTCTTTACTGTTTTATTTATCTTTTTAAAAAAATAAAAACAAAAAAGCTTTTTTTTTGGGGGGGTTTCCCCAGTAGGTAAACATCATTTCTTTATTTTAATTTGTATATAATAAAGTATACATCGTTGAAAGAAACAACATCTCTCTTATTATTTCAGAAGAGTTAAATGCTAGCACAAAAAAGCTTTTTGTTTTTTATTTATATAAATTTTAATTAAAAAAAATAACTTCTTAGAAAAAAAACATATTATTTGATTTCTATTTTTTTTTTATTACTATAATATTAATATTTCTATTAGAAAAAAGAATCTGAAAAATTTTTGAATAATTTGATTTTTAAAAATCTTTATAATATATATAATAGCATTAATAGCAAAATAAATAATATGAAATATATATATATTATACAAGTGATATTAACAAATTAAATAGAAAAAACAAATTTATAAAAATATAATAGTTTAATCTATATCTCTTTAAAATATTTGAAACTTGAATTTATAATTTTTTTTTTTTTAAAGAGCTAAAGTGTGATATATGTATAGTTTTTATTATAAAATCAATTAAAATTACAAATTATTTTACATATGTGAACAGTCTATTAACTAATGCTAATATTAACTGATATTATCTGCTCTTTTTTATCAGGATATTAACTTATACTTCATAAATGTATTTATATTCTAGTTTTATTTTTAATAAGATCCAACCTTAATTTTTAATATATTAATTATTACCAAATTTCTTATCATATTCATATCTCTAGCTCATACAACCATAGTACCTATAAGCTTCATTGCTGAAACTACCCAATTTTTATAAACATCACCACTTAATTGCCACTTAATAGTTATTTAATAGTCAAATAATAGTAACAAAGCAGTTACAGTAGTGTTAACTACTACACTACTGCATTTTATTGCTACTAAATTGCTACTAAATTGCTACTGTATTG